AAAAAATAGTAATCCCTCACAGAAGCAATGATCTCTCAAATAGTCAATGGACTTGGCTTCAACCAACCCCACCAGGGAAAGAAGGAAAAAGCATCTAGAGGCTCTGAGGAAGAACAGAAGCAGAACTGCACCACTCCAAGCAGTACAGAAAATGGTCTCTGGATTCAAAGTGACATCTATAGACAAGCAAATATACTGATGAGGAAAAAAAAAAATCCAAACAATGTATGCTTGCAAATTACCTCCTTTCCTTCTAAAGAAGGGTGGACAAACCCTAAGATAAACACTACAATCCCTGAAGAAAGCTTTGTAAATGTTAAGTGGTTTTCTAGACAGGCCACCTTCTGAGAGCTTGGAAGGAGGACTGCAAAACAGGCCTAAGGCTTGTGGCATGCAAGTTGAATGACAACAACAAAAAAAAATAATCAGACAGCAAAGCTGCAGCCTTGTTGGCTCTCACAACTCCTGTATGGCTTCTTTGCCTCCTTCTTCCCTGCTAAGAAGAGGAAAAAGTGCTGAAGGATAAGAAGAGTGTTCATAGCAAAGGAAATCAAAGTTGGCAATGCAATAATGATGCTGTTCTGGCAACTTTCACAATGTGAACAGAGAATTGTTATCCAAGGCAGAGAGCAAAGAGCTGTACAGAAATTACAGAGAAACTTTCCATCCTTCCTTTATTTGTTAAGCCCTGCACCATGAGGTTACTCCAGATGAGAAGCTTGGAGACACCACCATTTACACAGTTCTGAGAGCACCTCAATGTCTTTTTCAGTTCAAACAATTACAGATGTTTCCCTGCCTCCACTATTCATAAATAGACTGCTTTCATGGAAAGAGTCCATGTTTAACGACAAGAAGACAGATCTTCTCTCCGCCATTATAGTTACAGCTCTTTCCATCAGTTACAAGAGGGAGCCTTATAACCCCAGGCTATGACTAACCCCCTTCTTCTCTGCTCTCAAACTTCCACTATTATTTAACCTTGACAGTGGAGATGGTATAGAGTAGCCACGGGGTCTGTATCACTGTAGGCTACCATTGGCAGTTCTTATTGCCCAGCTGGAAAACAAGTACAACGGTACCAATGACCTCCAAGTTCATTCCTCAGCAGCTCCCACTTTCTCCTTGTGGAGCTGCAATTATAGCAGTGGTGCGAAGAAGGAAAGCTCCTGAGCACCAAAGACAGAGCTCACAGAAAAACCAGGAGAACGACTGCCTTGTTGCCAGTGCACTTATTTGTGGAAAAAGGGTGGTACGTGGGAAAGCAAAGGTTTTTCAGCTACGTGGCTAATGCTTGCAACCACGCACTACGAAAATCCCTAAGTGGCAAAAAAACCTCCCAGCAGCCTGAGGCATAGGTAAGAGCAAAACTGGCTAGAACCAAATAGAAGTATTTTCATACCTCTCCTCATTCAAAATGACCTATTTAATGCAAAAGCAAGATGGGAAATACAATCCTTCCTATTGACTCTTTCTGCCTGCAACTTGTCTGGGCATGATGGTCAATGAAAAAAGGGTATCGTTTTCATCTCAGGTGTCAGGCAGTGAGGGACAATACACTGCAAACCTCGTACTTCAGATTACACCAGCTGCCCAGGGAAGGCAGCACCAACTGGTGTATTTGCCTTTAATTCAGTCATTGCTCTTCCAAGTTCTTCAGGATTTCCTCCATTTGTGAAACTTCTGAGGCAGTCTGGGCTGCTACAACTATGAAGCTCATACCTGTTACTTCTGTACTTTATGCACTTTTAGGCACTTTATGTCAGATTAGACCCCAGACATGACTGCTGGAAGTGTTCATCACTTATGAACACCATGATGTATGTATACTAAATATTCTCAGGATGTTATTGATGCTATCACTACATCAACCACCTTCCATCCTCAGTTATTGTCTCTGTTTCTTTTACTTGGCTGCCTCATTCTCCAAAACGACTTCTCTTAGAGATTGCCTTTAATACCCTTTTCATTACCTTCTCGCTCCTCATGAACCATCTGATTTCATGGAATGGTTTGGGTTAGAAGGGATCTTAAAGATCATCTAGTTCCACCCTCCCTGCCATGGGGCAGGGACACCTCCCACTAGACCAGGTTGCTCAAAGCCCCATCCAACCTGGCCCTATATGCTTCCAGGGAAGGGGCATCCACAACTTCTCTGGGCAACCTCTACCAGAGTCTCCCCGCCCTCACAGGAAAGAATTTCTTCCTAATATCTAATTTAAATCTACCCTCTTTCAGTTTAAAACCGTTACCCCTCGTCCTGTCACTACATTCCCTTGCAAAGAGTCCCTCCCCATCTCTCCTGTAGGCCCCCTTTGGGTACTGGAAGGCTGCTATAAGGTCTCCCCAAAGTCTTCTCTTCTTCAGGCTGAACATTTCCAACTCTCTCAGCCTGTCCTCGTAGGAGAGGTGCTCCAGCCCCTCTGATCATCTTCGTGGCCCTCCTCTGGACTCATTCCAACAGGTCCATGACCTTCCTGTGCTGAGAACGTGGCAGACTTGGCAGAACAAGGCAGACTTGGTCTGCCTAGTCATTCTGCAGTTAATTTTTGATCCCTACAGGCTGCAGAGATACTCTGCTCTTGGCCATTGGCTGGATGAGACAATTCTGGCCCTTCCCAGAAATAAGGAAGGAAATGTTCAGAAGTTCTTGGCACCTGGAACTGGATAGGCAGATGCATGGTGGAAGTGCTGCAGTGCTGTTTTACCTTTGTTGACTCTGCGGATCCTCCTGTATCTCTGGGAGCTTATTCTGCTAAGATTTGCCATCCTAGCTGAGATCATGTTCAAATCTTACATGAATACACCCTCTCCTTGCAGGGAGTTGATGATGGCACCTCTGATAGAGCACTGACTTCCTTCTTCATGACTCAAGTTATTTACTCCACAGAATATGTTACATGGAATTAATTTGGAACTAACAACATGAAAGTTGAAGAAAAAAAATGAAAATTAAGTGGGCAGAATACTCTGAGCTTTCAGATCTAACTCATAATAAACAATGTAATTGTCACTACAATTTCCAATATGAAAGAAGGAGGAGCAGGAATAGTATTCAGGCTCCTGTGAAAGAACTCTAGGCATTTGGTAGTCCAGAAGGTTGTTAAGAAGGACAATAAATATAATGGTAAGGTGTAATTTTCCTGCCTCTTTTATATTAAAAAATTGTGCTCAGGAACTATGCAAGACAATGGAAATGTGAAACATGCTGCTTCCTACTTCTGGGCATCCAAGCATCCCGTTGATCATTTATAGGTCCCAAAAAGACAGCAGTAAAGCCCAGTACACTCCAGCTCACCTTTCTCATACACCCAGCTCCTGACCTAGAAGCTGCACCAAGGCAAAAACGTGGCTTCTGTGCTCTTTCTGGTTACCATTCAACAAGTCAAGTCACATACTCCAACTCTGTGGTAAAAAGGATCAGTCATGGAACTGGATCTTTAGCAATGACAAACTGAGCAGCTAAAGTATGTGCCAGAAAATTATTAACAACAAGTAGTATTTCTGACATTGATAGGTTTCCGCAAAATAGGGAACGATTAACAGCCCTCAAATGGATCCCAGAATAGCTAAATGATACCGCTGACACCAGTCCAGCTCTATAAAGTGGGAGCCCTTTAAAATCCCTTCAGTCTTTTTGATCCTCTGCCTGCAGAAGTTACTTTAGGCTCCTTGTCATTAAAGTTATGATCTTTGGCCTGCAGCCTGCAGTTAAACAAACAATAAAGCTGAAACATACATATTGCCAAAAACTGAGCCCTCACTAAATATCAGCTAAAATATAAACTCAGATCTTCTGAGAAAGTAATAGAGCTTTTTGTTCATGAAAGCACTTAAAGCCTGTTTTAAATAAAAGCAACATACTGAACTCAATTTCAAAGCCAGCATCTCTCAGGTTAGTGAAGAAGCATGCATAGGAAAATAAGCCATCATTTCCTCCTGAACTCTGCTAACAACTACTTTCTCTTCAGATGATGTCTCTAGGTATTCTTACTTCGGGACCCACTGTAAAAGCAAGCTAGCCCTCAGAAAGGCTGAAAAAGTGAAGTATCACTGCTTTTGAAATTAAAGGGAGATATTTTTTGCTGCTAGATGTGTCATTGCCACGGCTACACAAACAATTGCTATGAAAGCCACCAGAGAAGAGAAGTTTGGCACACTCAGTAGCAATGCACCTATTTTAAGAATAACAGTACCAAGTTAGCTTATTCACAGCTGACATAACTTTCAGATAGATATCTGGGTAGATCTAGAAATTTCATTTCTGAACAATCTTCCAGATAATTCCTAACATTTTAAAAACTAAATTATGATTTAGATCATTACCTAAAAACCACTTAGTGTATACTAACAGAATCTTGTGGGGAGAGAGGGAGAATAATAATGAAGTTGACTAAGCATTTTATCTCATATTACTTTACCCTTCCTGATGCACAAGCGTCTGTGACAAGAGCTGGATCACAGACAAGTCTTCTCATACAGCGAAACAGAAGTTTCCCTCCCACATTCAGAGCTTCCCAGTACCACTGAATCCCTTGCAGAAGTTCATTTCTTATACCTTCAAACCCTGCTTGCTATAGGATTTCAGAACTAATGTTTTATTGCTTTACAGGACAACAGTACTGAGGAATTGTTTCTCTTACTGAATGGATTTTTATTTTTAGGAAATGAGTCAACTATTTTGGTACCTAATGACAAATATGTAACAGAAACACATATACAAATATAAGGGAGTTGTGCAACTCGTCTTTGAACCATGCCAGGATGCACAGAGTTAAAGGCAATGCAGTACTTAGAATGTTAATTTTCCATTGAGGATTTCAACCCAACTTCTGTTTCATCTGTCATGGTACTGTCCCCTGGAGGGGCCAACTGCCACTATCATCATGATTTATTTTAACACGCGTTTTCCTTTATAATTTGTGAAAGGTTAAGGCTCCCAAATATACTTTTCAGAACAGTCACGGTGTTGGAGAAAGATGAAATCCTACAACACTTACCACCAAACACATCTCCGTTCTGATAGTTCTTCCCCTTCTGAGTTTCCTCTTCGTTTTGAACAGTAGAAACATGCTTGGCGGAGGCACAGCCCATAGCTTCATTCAGACAGCTCCAGCTGGACCCAACCACAAATCATGTCTAGAGACGCACGCTCATTGTTCGAAAAATAATCCACCTTCCCGTGGGGTTGTCAAGACACTTTTACCTAAAAGATGGCAAAAGAGAGAGAAAAATATTGATGAAAGGCTACCTCTAAACATAAAGCTTCAGGAAGAGAAATAATGGGGTTTGTGAAGAGAAGTACAAGAGCCTCCATCAGCTCAAGCTGTTAAAACCACATTAAATAAACATCTGATATAGGTAGATCGTGATATAGGTAGACCAATCCTGCCTTGGGAAATTCAAAGTCTCCTCCAGCCCTGTTCTTTAATCCGTGTCTTGAAGAAAAAAACACGTGCACAGATGTTTCCCACCCACCCAACTATTCTCACAGAATACAGGGGGTTTTTTTGGAATGAAGATAAGAAACCAGCAATATCTGCTCCGCCTGTTCCTTCTACCAATCTATCCATCAAGCCAGATTTCTTACAAAGTGTTTTAGTCATTAAAAGCTGCTAATTGCATGTGTTCAGACAAAATAACCCCTTAAATCAATTAAAGATCTTATGTTAATAGATGTGAAAGGCAATAGCCAGTTGTATTATACTTTGTGCGATCATTACTCTACTGAATCCATAAAACCTCCACTGCTCAAAAAGGCAACTACCCCCATTTTAAAGTAAAATAACACTCCCTGAACAATTCAGACGTCACATAAAACAAAAGGGGAAGAAAAAGCTAGTTTATAGCTGCAATATTTTTAATATAAAAAAAAAAAATTAAAACCACAACTTTTTAATGACCACATGGTTCCACACTCAAGGAAAACCAACTTCAAAGTTGGGTGAGATGACCTGGCTTGCCTTTGCACCAGCAAAATCTTTTGGAACAGGAGCAGATCTAGAGGAAGACAAGAACCATCCCTTTTTTCTTGGTTGTTTAGTTCAGCTATAGCATAAGACCATACACATAATTTCTTAACTCATTACTTCTGGGTATTTACTTCAAAGGATGTGGCTTGTTTTACTCCATGCCGACCACAAGAACTTTATCTGTAAGAGCAGATGGGTGCTCTTACCTAGGATATAGCAGTATTCATTCCATCTGAAATGTATAACCCCAAAGAAAGCCTTTTGAGTTTTATTTCCCTATGTGCTCAGCAGGAACAGCATGCCTGCCCACGTGAAGGCAGCACCATGGCACACCAAGACACGGTTATGTGGCCTCCACAGCCAACCTCGGAGAGACTTCCCTGCTCATCCCCAAAGTCACAGAAACGAGGATATAGACAGCCAGGCCACGAGTGATTCAGCTCTGCCACTGCAGCCACAGGTCCCCTTTTCCATTTACCATGCAAGGGGAAGGGCTCTGGACGCAGAACCCCCTCTCACCTCTACTCACAGACCAGCTCCTACCTTTCATCTTGCTCTGCACAGAAGCATGCTTTCCACTCAAAGCATACACACATACAGATGCTCATTCCCTGTTCTAAGCACCTAACCCTCATGCAAGGGGAAGGGCTCTGGACGCAGAACCCCCTCTCACCTCTACTCACAGACCAGCTCCTACCTTTCATCTTGCTCTGCACAGAAACATACTTTTCTCCACTAATTGAGCACGTTCCACTCAAAGCATACACACATACAGATGCTCATTCCCTGTTCTAAGCACCTAACCCTCCCGCTCACACCTCTTCTTTAAGTTCAGTGTACTCCCCAAAGTAATTTCTCCTTTTTTCCTTCCTTCTATACACAGACACTTGAGCATAAATTTCCAATTACCCCATCCTTCTCTTCTTCCTTAGCCACAGCTAGCTACTCACCCAAAACCACAGGATTTTAAACCAGACATGCACACTCTTAGTGGAAGGGAGTGAGCAGATCCCCCTTGAGCTATTTTTTTAACCCTTTACTGTTACTTTTTTTTATAAAAGAAAACCTAGGTTTTGTAGCAAAAGTCAATATTAAGCCAGGGAAGCTTTCTGTGTCCTCAAGCAATCGTCAAGGCTATTCTTCAAACTGTTTAAATCCATCTGCTTGTCAGATGTATAGACAAAGCTATAGCCTTGCTAAGAAACAAATCGCTCACAAGATCCCTCTGTGCATTTCCAAGCAGTCAATGTCCAAAGCAGGCAATCCTAATTACACAGCCACACGTTGTGAATACCGGTAACACTCATTTTATGTAAACTCTATTAGTTGTGCTTAAGTTTCTGCAACGCAGTGAAGGTCGGAGCTGACAACTCATCTTCCTGTGTGTTCAAAAAGCATGATAGCCCACATTAATCGTATCACTGTTGGGGTGGGAAACAAGGATCTGTAAGGATTTCAAGCATCAGTCCCAGCGTGCTTGCTCAGGAGGTAGGTCAAGACACACAGAGGTGTGGGAGATGGAGGAGAAACAGCAGACTGGGAAGCAGAACTGCTAACTAGACTGGAAATTAAGTGTGGACTAATTTTCTTAAAGCATTAAAATTTGTCTAAAGACAATCGCTTTAAATAGACCAGCTGAAGCAAAGAGGGAGTAAAAATGATGAAGATTTTCACTACAGAGTCCTTGTTTAAGATTTCAGATAAAAGCAGGAGCCTCGAGGCAAGCAGAGTCTGAAAACACTAACTTTGATTTCTCACTTAAAATATAAACAATTACATCATGCCAGGGAAAAGGATGTGGCCAGCTATGGGGCAAAGAGCAAGGGGAGCCATGATGTAACCCCAGAAAAGACAAGGAGGTGTGTAGGTGGGACAGCTAACAGGCTGCACATGGGGGAAATCACTGCACACCCAGCATCCCCATCACAGAACAGCCAGAAGCACCTGTTCAATGAATTATGCTGTTGCCATATTCAACTATTTTTCCTCTTTCTTTTTCTGTCTCTCAGCAGGGACCATTTACAAAAGGGAGGCAGCTGCTCAGTAATAAAAACGAAATGCATTTCGTAACATAGCAGTGGGTTGGTTTTTTGGGAGAGGACTTTCTGTGAAGTCTTATACACAGCCAACACGCAGCAAAATAATTCGCAAAACACTTAACTGTTGATTAATACCCAGGAGAGTGATAGTCCTGTCACCCAGGACCGGTGGGTGAGCTGTAGAAGCAAATCAGGAGCAAAGAGATGCAGAACATGAATGCAGAAGGACAAAGCTTTGGGGAGGGAAGAAAAAAATACACTCACAGTCAAATCTCTCCTGTGGTACCTTGGTAGCACACACCAACCTCACTAAAAATACAGCCACGTTTGAAGACATTCTGTGATTGAAGGCAACAAATGGCAATGCAAAGAACTGTTTTACCTTTTACATTAAAGAACAGTAATCACAGCAGTATCTGCAAAAACTACACAACAACTACTCAGATTATGAAGGCAATTTCTCCTGCTGCTAATAAATTGGGCTGAGAAAGTGGCTCCAAAATGACCTCCAAGGTAAGTTCAACACACATTTCCAGGCACATTTCTTGGACTACTGTAAACATGGTGCAGTGAGACTGACACCACTGTGACATGTGTAACTAATACAAGTCAGAATTAGCAGAGAATTAAGAAAAAAAAAACAAAAAGAGAGAGAAAAGCAGCATTAATTTTACAAGAGAGAAAATCTGAGGTACACAGCACATTGATGCTCTCCAGCCTCTCACTGCCCCCAGCCTCAGGGAATCCTCTCTTGCTCATGTACCAAAACCTACAGCAATGATGTTTGGGTATCACTCAGAAATGAGGTGCTGGTCCTCATTCATTGGGATGCCTGCAGAGGGTTTTGAGGATATGAAATGCAGTACTTCAAATGGCAGCAGTATAATGCATCCATTCTGCCTCTTCCCCCACTTTTCCACAAATATAATTTTCCCTTTTGTCTTCCTGAGCATTCTGGGGACATACAGAATTTCAGAAGCTAAAAATAAAAAGAATAAGAAAACCTTAAACCATTTGCATGGTTCACCACCCACCATCATTAATTATCGAGATTTGAGAGGCAATTTACAAGCTCCAATCTGCAAAATGCTAGTGAGAAAAATCTCTCAGGCAGATCAAAAGTGTCTACACCACCCCCAAATTAAATGCAGCAGGTTTAAGATTAACATCTTATGTGCAGGTCAAGAGAAGAATACAGACACTCTCAGATGCTGTACTTTGTACCCCAAGTTTCTTGTCAGCTAAAAAAAGGGGAGGTCAATTCTTAGAATAGAAGATTGACATTGGAAACCTTAAGCGATTCTCTTTTTTAATTTTCTTTTTTCTTTTTTTTTTTTTTAAAAAAGGCATGCCTGTATTGCACTTTTTATTTTAGTAGCTCTTTTAGCACTTCATTAATCCACTCACCTCTTATTTCTGATGGTCACGTACAAGACTGCACCCTTGACTAAACACCTTTTGCTTCCACAGCTGAAAACCAGACATTTAATAGGGAATGGAGGATCTCCAGTGTTTTACAACAAACGTATGTTAATTCTTCTACTACCACAGGTGTATTTGTTTTCATCTTTATTGCACTGAGATAACCAATCTTTCATTTTCTTCAAGCTGCAGATACATCTAAAAGTTTGCTTCTGTGTTGACCACGCAGGAAATCAGGTTAAAGTTTCACAAAGCTCAAGAGACCAAAGCAATGAGCTTCGTGCAGCCATGAAAAAACCCTAAGCTACAAAGAAAAAAATCACTCTGGCTTTCCATACAATACAACCTAGTCCAGGCAGAACCCAAGGATTTACCTTACTGCTATTAATTATGCTTATTTCCTATAAGAAAGAAGCCTGTTTGATTTCCTGGAGGATTTGTTCCATAACTTTCCCAGGGACTGAAGTATAGGCCTATAATTTCCTTAAGCCCTTCTTGTAGGTGGGGGTGACATTAGCTTTCTTCCAGTCTTCTGAGATGTCCCCCTATCTCCATAGGCCTATAATTTCCTTAAGCCCTTCTTGTAGATGGGGGTGACATTAGCTTCTGAGATGTCCCCTTATCTCCACGACTTCTCAAAGCCTCGCAATGAAGTCAGCCAGCCTTCTTAGCACCCTTGGGGCCTCAGGACCCACCAATTTGCAGGGGTCAAGCTCCTGTAATAGTTTGCATACTGACTCTTCCTGCACTACCGACTGTTCCTGCACTTCCTT